ATGCAGCAAGACACAGGCAGATAAGAGGGATTGGAGGAGTGATACTTAACCGGGGTTTACTGTATATATAAATCAGAGGAATATTGAATATTTTCTTTAAAAAGTTTCTTGAATTGTAAATCGACAAATATACTATATGGTCACTTTTATTCTAAAATATTTGCGGGGTTGTCACTTTTCCTTTCTAGAGGGAATATCAGAAATTTGTTCAGTTTATGATTTTTAGCTTTTGCCATCGTCGCGAAAAGACGCTTGTATGCAAACGCATGCTCAAGGAGATAAGAAGGTGTCTGTTTTATGAATGAAGCGAGATGCTTGTTGAAAGTACGCCTGCGTTCATGAATGAAAATGTTGTTGTTGTGGGATTTACAATTTGCCTGACATATTGATTGTTACGATTGTTGTTTTGTGAACAATTTTCGTAGTTTTGCGGTGACATATTAATGTGTACGGATATTCAGATGTATGTGGTTGATTTGTCTATGCATATTTGTTCGGACACTGTTATATATACATACATATTTATATATGTTGAAATAAATTAATGCGCGCACATATAGTGTATTGATAAGTGATAAATCATGATTTGAATTCTGAATGCGTCATTCAATACATACGTACATATATATGACTATATAAGATTAATATGAAAAAGATGTACAATATACATATATTGTAATAATTTAATCTCTATTATTATAATACAATATTTATTAAGAATGTATATTATATAATTTATTTATTTTCAGCCACCAGGGCCTAGAAACGGACTTAGATACATGATACCTTATATTCTATTCTTATTAATATATTAATTATAGTTATTAACTTTTGCATATTAATATTAGATACATGATTAGAACTATTAGTTTGAAAAATCTTTAAATCTTTAAGTCTATAAATTACATTTTGAATCACTAAATAATCTTTTAATTTATAAGGACTCTTTTACTATTAAATTATGTTTAGTAATTAGGATAGATTTTTCACACAACCTTGCACTAACACTCTCTCTACCTCAAGAATGTATATTAGGTAAAAACTAAATAAAATTATTAAATACCCAAATTGACTATAAATATTATTTCGAAATTCCATAATTTAATCTTATCAGTTTTGCATGCATTCATAAAAATTCGCAAAATGATATTCATATCAATAAATATGTTTGCTTATAAGCCTATAAAAATATAAGCCAAAAGGCTAACATGCAGCTGTAATATCAAAGCAAGTCTCTGAGCATAATTTTGATGTGGTGAAATCCACTAATAGAATCTTGTTAGGTTTTGACAATTCACACGCTGGTCCGCAATTGAACCTTCTCTATAATATACGTTCTCTGGTTTTTGAATTATTTTCAATACTTAGTTCTGTCATTTCGTGAATTTACATACAAAATGTCGTGGATCGCGCGATCAAAATGAACGTTTAACGCGCGATCGATTCGCAATCCGGATTTAAAAATATTTAAATATATTGGGATATGGATCGAAACCAGTCATATTGTAACGAATTTCTCGATAAATCGTCTAACTATAACTCACTCTTGAGCTCGATCACTGGATTCTTAAATTAAAGTTCCAATTTAATGCTTACACTTATCTTTATTGCCAATTCCAACAACTTAACGCTTATTGCTCGCTATTCGAACTTACAACTTATTGCTTATAGCTTAATTGCTCTTTACATGGCAACACTCTAATTAGAATTATCCCTGCTGCACAATCCGGCAGCCCTTATATAGTAAATTGTTAACAAAAGTTTGCTACTAGAACATTCTGGCAACTACGAATTCGCTGTCTAGTTGCTTCTGCCAGTTTATCGTCAATTCTGATTTGTTCTGGTACTCGTGTTCGCCACACTGCCCTCTACCTAAGTCTGATCGTCCCGATTAGACATATTTGCGGTACCAAACGCTGCAAGCCGTTCCATATGAACCACCTTCATTTTATTGCTTGGTCTTCCAATGGTCTGTATGCGATACACTACATCATTGAGTCGTTTAATAACCTTGTATGGTCTTTCCCAATTACGCACCTGAATTGTACTGCTTCATCAGGCCATGACTCCTGGACCGCGGCCCTTTAGCAGCAATGCACTCGACACAATTGGCGATCCACTCCGTAACTGATTGACGACAACCAACCCAATAAAATCTTTGTTTTAATTTCTCCAAGGTTTTATTGATACCCATGTGTCCTCCACTTGGACCGTTGTGCAGCTCGTTGAGAACTTCAGGAATTTTTACTTTTGGAACAATCATCAGAGCTCGTGAACTTTGCCCATCTTCGCTTTCCCATACGCGATGCAAGCAGCCAGACACTAACTTCAAACTATTCCATTGTGCCCAATAAGCCTTTGCGACTGGGCTTTCTGCAGCTATTTCTTCTCTCGTTGGACGTTTATTTATCTCCAATACGTGTATTACACTTTTCAAATCTGGATCCTCTTGCTGACATTTCCGTATCTCCTCCGGTTTCAGTCTGATGTTAAGAAATCTGCTGGCTCTCTGTTGTTATCACTCGTCTAACGTTGTACTTATTATCGTAACCGAACATAAGTGGTACTTCCATATTTCTATAGGACATAATCCTGTTTTTCATGTCAATTTTGATTCCTTGATTCGCTAGAAAGTCTACTCCAATTATGGCTTCGTCAACGATATCTGTCACTATAAAATTGTGTAACACGGCTGCCTTTCCAATTATGATCTCGCACGTTACCTTTTCGAGAACTAGGGTATCTTCTCCAGTTGTAGTACGCAACTTTGCCCCAGCTAACGGTCTCAGTTCTTTCTTAACCAGATCGGATCGAATTATGGAATGTGATGCGCCCATATCCACAATCAGTATGCGCTTTTTATCGTCTACGCATCCACTAATGGTAACGTTACACGTATTCCTGCTTATTTGTGAAATGGAGATTACAGGGCATTTGCTTGCAGGAGCCAGCCCGTGCGCTTTTTGGTTGGCTCGCTTTAGTTTTAACGATTAGTTTGATTTGACATTTGCTTGATCTTCCTCAGTTTTGCGTTTACGTCCAACTGGATTATTGGGCTGGTTACAGTAGCGTGCAATATGGCCACCTTTTCTGCAGTGGAAGCATTTAAGCACACCATCATTTTTCTTATGCGCTTCCGTAGATTTTTCCAATGCTTTCTGCATGTTGTCAATTTTTTCAAGTAATTGGTTCACCCAAGTGTGTTCCTCTATTTCTACTTTGTGACCTTTAAGTGTTTGATTGCAAAGCAGAGATTCAGTTTCCTGTGTCAGAGCATACGAAACAGTTGCTATAAACGTCAATTTTGGACATGCTAATGCAGCGAATCGTGTAGTGTTATCTCGTATTCCATTGATGAAAGTCTGAATTTTCGTGTCCTCGATGTATTCCAGGGATTTATGTGCATAAGCTAAGTGAGCTAACCTTTCAATCTCTGTAGAAAACTCCTGCAGAGGCTCATTGGCTTTCTGGCGGCGATTTCGCAACTCGATTTGAAAGATCTGCTTCCTGTGCTCACTACCATACCGTCTTTCTTATGCACCCATCAACGTTTCATAACTACTCGCCTCGCAGTTTGTAATGGTCTGTAAAAGCTCCGCTGCACATCCTTTTAATGCAACGAACAATGCAGCTACTTTATCTTCAGCGTTCTAATTATTTGAAGATGCCGTATTTTCGAATTGAAGCTTAAAAACGTGGAACGAAACAGTGCCATCAAAGGATGGAGGTTTTACCTTGGCAGAAGCTGACGACGTAATTGACCGATTTAATTGTAGCTCACGGAGACGATCTCTCAATTCATCCACTTCAGTTTTAATTCTATCCCAAAATCTGTGAGGACACTTTTGATAATAAACATGCATCTTGCGCTGCGAACTGCTCTTCCAACCGCGTTTCTAACGAGGACAATTGTGATTGTTGTGTTAACATTTGGGATGACACCTCTGCTATTTGTTGGGTTATACGTGCATCCTGCTCTTTAAATTGTGTCGATATTTCTGTTGATATTTGAGACATACGTGTATCCTGCTCTTTAATTTTTGTCGATATTTGCGTTGACATTTGAGACATACGAGTATCCTGCTCTTTAATTTGTGTCGATATTTGCGTTGACATTTGCGATATTGCAGCAAAAACCATGTTTATGTCCACAATCTTTGACGAGCATTGAGCCTCTTCCTTTTCTTTTATCTTTGTTGTCTCTTCCTCTAGATCCATGTGAAAGACATATTCTTCAACATTAATGTTTTCCGCCTCCATGGCCTCTCTCTCTCCTTTTTCAGTCGTGGAATCTTCAGATCGTTAAGCTTGGCCATTTTCAAATAATTATCTCTTTGGGAATTTATTTGACAATCCCACTTCTGACACCAATGCATGGTCATGGTTGCATCTTGCCATTTTCTTTTAATTTACGAAAAAGTTGTTCAAAAAATATTGGTTATATGTAAAACTTTAATATGTTTTCAAAATAAAATCAATTGTTGAAAATAATAAACCTATTTTAACCCGCCCATAATATGCATGATCGGTATATCATTTTAGAAGGATTTTATAAAAAGTTCGGTAACTTTCCACACCACCATGAGGTATGCAACTAGGCGCGTTACCGATTCTTTTGTGTGTTCGGTTACCCAGGAGGCCTATTTTCACCCATGTAACTAAATAACAAAATAATATATAATAAATAAATAATAAAAAAACAAAAACATTAAAAAAATTCATTTAACAATAATATTTAAATAAATACATTTTATGTGCATGCATTGCCAACAGTGGAGATCTAACTAAATTCTTTTAATTCAAATTATAGAAAATAATACTAACTTGTCGACCCCAAATAAGTTGTTAGAAAATGTTTATATGAAAAAAAAACATAAAATAATTATATTAAAAACAATTTTCAAAAACAATTACCTTTCAAAAAACAAGTCCGTCCGTTTGACAAAAAGTTGTTAATAAATTCAAATATGTTGCCAGTATTGCTATTGAGCATTGCGTAACAGTGTTGCGTAAGCTAATTTTAAATTACTTTTTATAAAAGAAATATATCGACCGTATTTTATACCATAAAGATATTACAATTTCAACAAATAATTTATTTTAGGGGTCTATATATTTAAAAACTAAACTAAGAACTACATAATAATATGGTAATTTTTTTGTCAAGAGTTGTAATAAAATATGGTACAAACATATATCCACCGCTATATGATATACTTATATGAAATATAGAACGTAAATAAAATTTGTGATTAAATAAATCTATACCAAAATTAGAGAAAACATCGGTTCAGTAACTATTTTTTTGATATAAGTACAATGGTAAATTTTGCTTTATTGTTTAAATGAATTAATATCACTTGTATGGTAATGATAAGTTTTGCTTTTTGGATTATATAAATTATTATTACTTACATATAATAACAAACTCTGTTACAATAGTTATTTTTTCCCGTCCACTCATAGTTAAATTGAATTTTCAGTTTGCCCATTAATAAGTTATTTAAAATGCTTGAAAATATGCCGCATATTTACCTATATATTGTTAGCATTAAACATCAATTAATAACCAAAATTTAAAATATTTATAAATAATTATTTAGGCGTTTTCTGCTACGCGCAACCCGTTTTAACCCCTCGCCACCCTAACTCACGAATACCACATTGTTGGATTCATTGTGAACGTACACCTCAGGGGTGGCGAAACTATTGTGAATGGGACTTTTGCTACTCCCTTATACCATGCCTTCCAGTTTTTTTACTTGGTAACACTGAAAGTGTATAAGAATTATTTGACAAAAATTGGCAGACGGCGTCTTTGTAGCAAGACATTTTCACAGTTCCATACAAGATGTTCGGATTAAGGACCGCTATAAAGTCGGACAGGAGCATTTTGCCACTGTTATGCAACTTAAGTAAGTACACAAATAATAACATTGTAATATTTGAAATATTCCGAATTGCTAAAAGAACAAAAATACGAAAAGATTTTCTCGGTTGCCCTTTTTTGACTAAATGACACCTAACCTAGTTACGGCCACGTTCGTTAAGTTATGTAATTGTGGGCTGCTGTTGATTCTTACTTCACACCCCAATTTGTGTTACTATTTTGTATTTAATTCACAGCGTTAACCAATACGTATACTTTTCTCATATATTGTTAATATATGTATAGTGTAAAAAATTGAGTAAATGTATAGTCTGGGTCCTCCACCGAAGGAGGCCTTAAAAATTGATATATTTTTCTAAATCATATTTTGACGCGAAGATTACAAATCCATGAGCGGAAAGTCGGTCGGTCCAACACCGGGGTGTCAATAGTTCTATTGTATCCAACTCCTTTCAGCACGCAAAAGAATATAAGTTCTTTTTTTGAAGTGCGGCCACCAGCGCAGAAAGGAGTTCAACGCCAATGAATTAACAATACCCCGCTGTTGGACCGACCAGGGTTATTTTTTTGAAGCGCGGCCGATGGCCAACAGTGCAGAAAGGAGTTACTACGCAAAAGAACATGTGCGAGGTTTTTTGATTTTTCTTGTAAATTGTTAAATTTAAAAAAAATTAGAATTGAAAAAATCGACTTTTTGCTCACTTTTGTAATTTGTAATCTTCGCATCAAAATAAGACGATTTACGAAAAAAATTATAATTTTCGCAGCCTCCTTCGGTGGAGGACCCAAACTATACATTTACCAAAAATTGTTGCAATTATTGGTGTTGTTACTAATTTGGATTTAATTCACAACGTTAACTAATATGCATATAATTTTCTTATATATTGTTGATATATGTACATATGTGTTAATAATTATTGCATAATCCTATTATAAACATATATACATTTTTTTTTTTGTAAAAATTCTTTGTAGAACGGGGCGCTGCAGCAAAAGCCGCTGCTAAGGCTGCCGCTGGAGCTAATGGCAAGGTAAATTTTACACATAAACTGTATATTTGTTGTATTATATCGATTCTCTTGAATTATATAGATCGTTGCTGTAATTGGTGCCGTCGTTGATGTTCAGTTTGACGATGACTTGCCACCAATCCTTAATGCTTTGGAGGTGGAAAATCGCGCTCCACGTCTTGTGTTGGAAGTCGCTCAACATTTGGGAGAAAACACAGTGCGTACGATTGCTATGGATGGTACAGAAGGTCTGGTACGAGGACAAAAGGTTCTAGATACTGGTTACCCAATTCGTATCCCAGTAGGTGCTGAAACTTTAGGCCGTATCATCAATGTTATTGGTAAATTAAGAATAGGTGTATTTGCCTAGCAATAAAATTAATTTTATTTTTGTGTTAGGTGAACCAATTGATGAACGCGGTGCAATCCCAACCAATAAGACTGCCCCTATTCACGCTGAAGCTCCAGAATTCGTGGATATGTCAGTCGAACAAGAAATTCTGGTAACTGGGATTAAAGTGGTCGATTTGTTAGCCCCTTATGCCAAGGGTGGTAAGATTGGATTGTTCGGTGGCGCCGGGGTCGGAAAAACTGTATTGATTATGGAGCTTATTAATAATGTGGCAAAGGCTCATGGTGGTTATTCGGTATTTGCTGGAGTAGGCGAACGCACTCGCGAAGGAAATGATTTGTATAATGAAATGATTGAGTCTGGTGTAATTTCATTAAAGGATAAAACATCAAAGGTCGCTTTAGTATACGGTCAAATGAACGAACCCCCAGGCGCTCGCGCACGTGTTGCATTGACTGGATTGACTGTTGCCGAGTACTTCCGTGATCAGGAAGGACAAGATGTGCTGCTTTTCATTGACAACATTTTCCGCTTCACCCAAGCTGGTTCAGAAGTGTCTGCCTTGTTGGGTCGTATTCCATCTGCTGTGGGTTATCAACCAACACTAGCCACTGATATGGGATCTATGCAGGAACGTATTACAACTACGAAGAAAGGTTCTATTACCTCAGTGCAGGCCATTTATGTGCCAGCGGATGATTTGACTGATCCTGCTCCAGCAACAACATTTGCTCATTTGGATGCTACAACCGTATTGTCGCGTGCCATTGCAGAATTGGGCATTTATCCAGCTGTGGATCCCTTAGATTCCACATCTCGTATCATGGATCCTAACATCATTGGTCAAGAGCATTATAATGTAGCTCGTGGTGTCCAGAAAATTTTGCAGGACTACAAATCGCTGCAGGATATTATTGCTATTTTAGGAATGGACGAGTTGTCTGAAGAAGATAAACTTACAGTTGCTCGCGCACGCAAGATCCAACGTTTCCTGTCTCAACCATTCCAGGTCGCTGAAGTGTTCACTGGTCACGCTGGAAAATTAGTCCCATTGGAAGAAACTATCAAGGGATTCACTCAAATCTTGTCAGGTGAATACGATCACCTTCCTGAAGTCGCTTTCTATATGGTTGGACCAATCGAAGAAGTGGTACAGAAAGCCGAGCGTTTGGCAAAGGAAGCTGCTTAGGCTTATGAAATATGAATTGTAAAAATTAAGCTGATTTAACAAAAAAAATTTAAAAAGGTGTTCACACAACATCTAATATTGAAATAATTTTGAGTATTTTTAATGATGTTGTGCAGCAAGGTAAGTAAACAACAGATAGCTCTTAGTTACAATATAAAAACTCTCAAAATATTTTTATGGAAATCTGCCAAATCAAACCTCCGCTAGCGATGGTAATAAATGGAAAGGTACTACATGAGTCCGTAATTCAGGTGATTTACAGGGGTGTTGTAGAATCTGATACTTGTCGGAATCAGAATTGAAATCTATAAAAAAATGTAGGTGTCATGACTGTAGGATTACTGTGATCTTTTAGTATCTTCATTTCCTGCCGCCAATGCAAAAGGAGTTCTATGCGAAAAACTAATGTGCTTTTTATTTCCTGCCATTGGCGTATTATCTGTTCTCTTTATTTCTTTTGTAGGCTAAACTTACCTTGCTTTATTTTTAAAAATCCAGCATAACCTTACCTTACCGAGTTTTTATTTTTTTAATCTAGCCTGGGCGCACATTTTCCGAAAAAATTGAATAATCTGCAGCTAACGATATGTATTAAATCAAATATCTGTTGGATGTTATTCGGTCCGTTGTAGTTAAACTATAATAAATATGTGTCTCGGTGAAGCAAGTATGACCATGGGTATGTAAAAGTGCTATACAAGTAGTTGTTGTTGTTGTAACGGTTACCTAATCCCCGTTTGGTTGATAAGTTCCAGATTGGTTGTCGTCGAGGTCATCTAACGGGAGGCCCGGGAGACGAGCTGTTTCGACGGGGTCGGACCATAGGGAAAAGGGTGTTAGATGAGTGGGGTTCGTTGGGCATGCAAAGGGTGGTAAGTGTCATGCGGAGACTCATTGCACGCAGGACATGCATTTGGAATGTCGGGGTCTATTCTGGATAAGTAGGAGTTTAACCTGCTACAATATCTAGAACGAAGTTGCGCGAGGGTCACTCTGGTTTCGCGAGGCAACCCGAGCTCTACGTCTGCTATGGGTGGTGGTTTGACTCGTAGTACGCTATTCACTGAGGGAGTCGGTGAAAGTGTTGATGGCTCCACTGTGAATGGCGGTCAGTGCGTCTGAAGTTCGTTGCGTCCGAAGTAAGGTCGGCGTACTGTCTAATGTCGTCGACGTAATCAAGGAAAGACCTCTTGATGTTCCTAGGAGGAACTCCGCTTCAAGCAGACAACTGCAGGGGTAGTTTCTACGAAAACAACCCAGCAGAACCGCTTGGAGAGGAGCTCGTTATGTTCCTTAACCGGAAGCATACGGGCCCCACTGTGTAGGTGTTCGATTGGGGACATCAAGAGGCATCCCGGGATAGTCCGGAGTGCAGTGTTCTGACAGGTCTGCTTCTTCGTCTGCGTAGCACTACATCCAGGCGACCATATTGGGGCTGCATAGTTTAGGACCGGCCGGCCGATTGCCTTGTATGTCGCCAGCAACGTTTCTTTGTCTTTTCCCCAAGAGCTGCCGGCTAGCGATTTGAGGATTTTGTTGTGGCTCTGTACTTTGGCAGTTATCGCGGTCGTGTGAGGAGTGAAGAAGCAAAGACTGTCTAGTGTAACGCCTAGAATTTTAGGGTTGTTTACCGTCGAAATTTTGGTACCATCGACTGAAATGTTTAGATCAGTCTGTACTCCTTCGTCCAGTTCGTAAATATGGTCCCTGTGGATTTAGTGGGGGAGAGTGTCAGACTCCTTGCAGAGAAGAAGCGAGAAAGATCGCCGTTTACTTTTGAGCACATGCCATCGATTCCATTGCCGGAAGTCAATATCATGCAGTCATCAGCGTACGAGGTCACGGAAATTCGCTCTGGTGGTTGGGGGAGTTTCGAGATGTAAAAGTTTAACAGTAGTGGGGAGAGGACACCACCCTGCGGAACCCCGTGTTTAATTCTTCTCAGTTTGGAGTTTGGACGGATGATTGCCGACCGCTCAGGTAGTACATGGTCCACCGCTTCAGCCCTGAAGGGAACGTAGATTGTTCGATGTCCTCAAGTAGCGTTGTGTGGTTGACTGTGTCGAAGGCTTTCGACAAGTCCAACGCTACGAGGATCGTTCTCTCGCAGGTTGGCTACTGGTTTAGGCCATGAACTATCCGGGCGTTTATGACGCTAAGTGCTGTGGTGGTGCTGTGCACTTTTCGGAAGCCATGCTGATGTTCTGCTAGGCTCAAGTGGTGAGTGAATGTCGGGAGTAGCAAGGCTTCAAGTGTCTTCTCTACTGGGAAAGGAGAGTTATCGGACGATAAGACTCCCCTTTGTTGACGGGTTTCCCAGGTTTTAGTAGTGGAACCACTCTTCCGACTTTCCACACATCGGGTATTTGAAGAGTGGGAATCGACAAGTTGAGGAACTTGGTAAGGTACCTTACTCCCGTCGAGCTTAGATGTTTTAGCATCAGCATGCTTATTCCGTCAGTGGATTTGGACGATTTCGCCTTTGTGATGGCACTCTGAAGTCCAAAGCTTCCTTACACCGGTGGAGAGGTTGCGGGACTTCAGGTGCTCTATCCATTTGGTCCGCTTATGATGATTTACCATTTACAGAATCTCCAAATTGAGATCCCTTATTCGGGGATAACAGGGATCGGCATGGCGTAAGGTGTCGCGCTCGTTTGCTAGTACAGCTGCTTCGGCTGGGAAATTAGGGCGGAGTTCCGCGATTCTTCCAGCCGGTATAAAGCGAGCAGTAGCAGCAGCGATCACTTTGCGGAATTGACGTGCGTAGGAATGGGTAGTGCGTTAAAGGTGTTCTCGGTGAATTTTGTGAAGCCGACCAGTTAGCTTTGTTAAAGTTAACAAAGGTACGGTTGTCCACAGAAATAAAGTCAGGAGGTTTCTCGATCGAGATAATTATGGGCAGATGGTCTGATGCAAGAGTAAGCATAGGTCGCCAGGTTATACTATTTATCAGACCACCGCTAGCGATGGTAATATCTGGCGAGCTATTACAGGTGCCCATAATTCTGGCGGGGGCTTCGTCATTCATTGTGCAGAATGTCGAATCGTCAATCTGATCCGCCAGCCCCATTCCTCTACGATCATTTGACAGACAGGAGTGCCAAAGAAAAAAAAAGTGGTAATTCTTTAAAATTTACATATGGTGGCGACTTAGCCAATAAAATTTTAATTAAATTAAGTCATCAAATTAAAACTGGTTTTATTGCATAACTGGAAAGAGGTTAAGAGCTTATGCAACATGCCCGAGGTAGGCACTTTCAGAAATTTGTTATGCACGAAGAATTCGGTAGAAACTAGAACTAATAAGCTCTATCGGATAAATTTTAGCATCGGATGGATTGTTATTGTTTATAAACGGTCAGAAATACAGGAATTGTTCATAGATGGTGTAATTACTTTCGATGTCCTCAGGCATCAGATAAATGATTTTGATCGTTAAGTTTGTATGGCAGCTATATGATATTGTGGTCCGATCTGAACAATTTCTTGTATCGCTGTTATAAACAATAGTTAAAGCCAAATTTCGTGAAGATATCTTGTCAAATAAAAATGTTTTCCATCTATCGATATCTCAAAAGCTCGTCGTGCTGATCATACATATATATATTTATTTATAGGGTCTCCGGTGTTATAAACTTCGTGGTCCCGTTCAGCGTATATAAAAGTTGGTTTTTACTACTCTATTACTGAAATAAGTTATTCTTTAATATCATAAATGTGCAGGTATCGACTGGTAACCATTTAATTGTACAAACTATTTAATGATAGCCCATATAAAAACAAAGTGCAGACATTTTCCCAATTCGTTGTTTTAGAGATTTGTTGATATTAAAGCAAATACGTTGTTCAAAAAGAACAATGCAATCCCCGCACCAGCATGTTTTACGTTAACGGAATTAACTCGGATTTTATACGGCCAAGAGTTGTTATTTCGAGGACCTAACCCTGTTTGGATTGATCTAGTTCGCAAGGAAACATTCATTTAAGGTTTCGTATAAAAAAAAAATAGGTATTCCATTTTGTTGAAAACCCGATACTTCCTGCTTGAAAACATTTTTAACATCAGACCTCTAGAATTAAAAGAGGCATGACAGTCGGGTCGGGGAATGTTTTCTGTCGCAACAACAACAAGAGAATAGTAATCGAATTATCCCAATTTCCACAGTTTCGTTATAGAAACAAAATAATAAATCAAATGAGTACTTTTTTATGCACCGATTACAAAAAGATTAAAGGAAAAATTTACCAATATTTAATAATACCTAAATACTTCTTTTACCGACTTTTGCATTTGTAATAACTAGTACAACAAATGCAAGAAACTTACTAGTATATGCGCGTATACCAAAGAATTTATTGTGCTAGATGGTGTTATTGGTATTAAGACTCTTATTTAAAGAACATTTCAAATAGTTTTCATAAGATAGAGACTTTGAGCTAAGATAGAGAGATTGAGCTAAGAAAATGCCGTTCAATGGCAAATGTTTCATTTTACTTTTAAGCATAGTTGCTCACAATATGTAGAAATGTATATGCATATACTGCAGTATCATGTTTGTAATAACCAGGGTTGCGATTTTTTTTCTCTCAATTTCAACATCTTGGGTTAAAAATTAAATTAAAAATTTTTTGTTGGGATTCAAAATAAATTTTCATTTATTAATTCCGATGTTGGGATTAAAAATGAAAAATCTATATAAAATTTAAAACTATATTTCAATTTAATAGTAAAAATATCAAATTTATTTTCTACTTTTGTGGTCAAATTTAAACATTTTATTTTTAATCCCAAAATCAAAATTAAAAATTGATAAAATATAAATCTTTTTAAAGTGTCAGTTTAGAGCATTTAATAAGACGGCTCTGTGCCAGTTCTAGTTCAAAATAGTAGAACACAAAGTACGCAACCGCGAACAATTTTAAATTCTAAAACTATTTCTTGTTTTAATTCTTAATTATATGCTTATTTTATTTTTAATCTGGTATTTTTTATTTATAATGTTTTAATCCCGTATTTAGGATTAAATTTTTTTAATCCTAAAAAAATGTGTAACTCAAATATTAGTTCAATTAGTTTTTAGTGCATTATTTGCAACGCTGGTATTAACAATAAATTTATAATATAGCGAGTTGAATTAAATGAACTTAGTTGTTCTAGGTTGGGTAAATAAAAGTGGTGATATATTTACTCTACACAAGTTTTAAAGGCATTACGAACATTTTGCGGTATACTCTGATATATGCTATTGGCAACATGCCCGTATTTGTTGGTTTAAACAGTGCAATTTAATATTTTTATTGGAAATAGCACGGAAATGATTTTATTTCACGGTTTAACAAAATCTTCAATTTACTTTATTTTTTATTTTTTGGTCTGAAATACCTCTTTTTGACATTTATTATTGATCTTAACATTTACTTGTTACACATTAAATTTCATTTTATTATTATTTTAGCATTAAATTATTTCCACTAACTGTTTAGTAAATTAGTTATTTAACATCTTTATCTATTTTATGTTTGCATATAATACAATATTATTAATGGTGCAGCATTCACAGATTTTCTGGTTTTATTAACACATTTTTTCTCTCAATTCTTAAGTTGAAATCAACAATGTTACTTAAAACAATTTAAAACATATTTTTTTACACATTTAGAATTTAATTTCGTTTTGTTGTTTTGTTTTGCGTTACATTTCAACAATTAAGTTTTCAAAAAGCTAGAGATAACATAAAATCTAAATAATATTTTTTTGATACAATATTATCACTATATTTTTAATATATGTTCTCTTACGCCTCTTTTTCAACATATTTTCTTATTACCAATAAACTTTTCAGTTTTCACTTTATTGTTACCAAAAATAGTTTTTCTAAATTTTAAGGATTTGTATCTGAGCTTCCGCTTGTTTTAAGTATATTATAATAGTATAACATTTTTTAATCTAGTACATTATTCTTTTTAAGATTTGTATGTAATATGAAAATCAATTAATGATTATGAGGAAAACTAGATCGTATATCTGCTGCGCGCAGTAGACTTTAGGTACTATTTGGAACTACATGCAGTTTTCCTATCTTATATATATGTCCCCACATGCAAATGTCAAAAAAAATTACATATAGCAAATAAATTTCTTTCGAAAGTAAAAACCAAATTTTAAAATACCTTAAATAATAATATGAAGAATCGCTGACTAACTAATTAACAGCAGTAACTGAACATTAATCTTAATTCATCAGATGTTGAGAAGCATCTACGTAACAACATCCTTCATTTATATTATCAATTGATCTAACATTTATAGTAGTAACTAGTTTTCTCTTCTTCAGTTTTTCTTTAATTACAACATGAAATAAGATTTATTTTATTAAGTATGTATTTTAATAAAATATAGCTTTCAACATTTTCTGTTGTTGGTTCTCGTTTTTGTTGAATTAGCGTTATTTGTTATTATAATTATTTATTTTTATTTTCTAATGTATAACCTCCGAAAGTGTATTTTAATTACATTCCGTAAATTTTATTTTAGACTGTTAGCAGGGGTTTGAATATTATTATCGGCAGTGATAGACGATGTGTCGGACGATTTCTTCATTTTGTCGCAATAGTCGTTAAAAATGTCACGAAAGCGCAGCCAGCATTTTTCTGGCACAGTTATAGCAGTGCGAAAATTACTTTTCACCTTAAATGAAATTCAAATTATAGTGCCGACCCATGGGAAATTATTGAATTTTTTCATTAATGTGAAAATATTTTTACCTCACTAATGCGCATATAAACCCCACGATTATTTTGTCCAATATCAAAGTAAAAATTTTTATTGTCCACCTTCATGTGGCGTTCTTCTGGCAGATCACCTTTAAATCTGTGAAAATGTATTTAAGCAAATATGCAATATATTATTCAAATTATTAGTTATTTTACTATATACAGTAGAAACTCTATATAACGAAACACTATTTAACGAAAAACTCGATATAACTTAGACAATACTAATATTTCTTTGATTTACATTATTATTCCTATAATAAAATATTTTATATAGCGTCACATACACTCTTGGTAACGAAATAATAATAATAATTCGGCTTGCAAATTCATATGACAGAAGAGAGGCTGACGTTGAGCCACCTCCGAGCATTAAATGGCGCTAACGCTGCAGTCACCCATGTTATAAAATCGTTAGCAGTAAATAATACGTTATATTACATATAATACTCGGACTCTGCCATTACTAAAGAGGTACCGATAGATATAAAACGTTAGGAGTAAAGGTTTCCTTAAAATAAAACTCAATACAGAGAAGAAAAAAGGAAAAGAGCAGCTGTGACATCAGCCCAAATGTCGATAGGAGAAGTGGCTGCCACACCGGCGGGAACAGTGAGTCTACTTGCTGAGTCGCCAGTGTCCATACCTCTGCTGTGAAGGGTGCAGTTCCCTTTACAACGCAAAGATGCCACGGTTCGTGAACACTCCGACCTCGAAAGCAGTCGTTAACGCGAATAAAGAGGAAGCTTTGCTTCCGGGATGCGGGTTCGGCATTAAAGACTAGACGCAGGGCAATACATGCAGGAGATGTTGAAGGCGAAAGCAATATACAAAGGAGCGGTCAAAGTCTAAGTCCAACCGAATGAAGGAAAAAGAGGAGAGGTTGGTTTGGGCTAAGAAAAAATGGAAGAAGGCGGAGCGTATTACGAATCACGACCGCGATTCTAGTCCAAGGATCCGAAATTTGCGAAACGGATCGAGGAGAAGATTGCGGCCAAAAAGCAGCTGTCCGCTGACAGCGGGGAAAGCTTAACGGCCGAAGCGAAAGGACGACGTTGTAAAGCAAAGCGTCAAATGAGGCCAAGAGAAATAGTCAACCTCCAGAACGGCGGAATCGATCAGTGACATAATCAAGAGGTACCTAATCGTGGTGATCATTGACTGGAGCAACCCCCTAGTACACATCACACAGGAGCAGTGGACTTAAAGCTGCTAGATGCACTCTTCACAAAAATGGAAGGAGACCAGGGGACGTCTATGCCAACCTTTGATGGTGTGGGCAGGCTGAATGGTGTCAAAATCCTGATATGTAAGGACAGGTAAAGGCAGTGTTGGTGAAGCTTTAAGGCCTGTAGTGGGGATGACCGTCCTCGAGATGGTGGAGTTGCTCTGGGCCATCCTGAAAGCGAAGGTGGTTATACTTCGCACGGTAGAACCGGGGGATGCACTACGGTCCTTCAAAGGCAAAACCCCGATGTATCGTCGGAATATTGCAGGGTGTTGAAGGTCACCAACTCCGGCAAGTCGGATAGCAGCCAGAACTACATCCTCCAAATAAACATATCCTCCGAGGAAATTATGTACGGAAGGTTCGAGAAGATGGCCATGGTATCTGGAGTGCAAAAACGCAAAGTAAGAACTGTTATACTGGTAAGGAAAAGTATACATTTAAAAATTAATATAAATTTCTCGTCAGATGACCTGCCGGTGGAGGGATGGCAAGGCAACTCCTTGCATTCTGTTACAAGCCCCATGACGATGAAGCGCCGTTAGAGGAACTCCGGCGGCTGGTTGATAAAGCTTAGAAAGCGAAATAGGCTGGGAAAAGCCTCTGACGCCAGTGATACCAACGATAGGGGTGAGTTAATACTAAATTTTATACTGGTAAGCCTACCTCAAAGAACGTTCTAGATTTAACACTTCACACTAGGACAATAATTAAGTTTGAAGATTGCGAGGTGCTTCGAACACACTCGTCTTCTGACCATAGGTATGTAGGAGTTCAAGTATAATTCTCACCCCTCAATAAAAATGAAACTTTCAGAAATGTTAAGAACACTAACTGGGATTTGTACAGTAAGATAGTAATAGGGAATTTAACTAGACTCAAGGAAGGTGACTCAACATCTGAACTGGAGGGAGGGAGTGTCACGAAGCCTCCTTAGTGGAATAGGGAGCTCGAATCACGTAGACACTGCGCCAGGAGCTTTTCAAACTGGTCAAGATAGCCAGTGAGGAGTTTTGCTGAAGGGAATATAAGGATGTACATAAGAAATATATAAAAGAAATTCGCAAAGCTAAAAGAGAGTCGTAGAAGAGCTTCTACGACAAGTTAGAAAAAACAACCGAGGTAGCTAAGCTTAGGAAACTACTATCCAAGCACCCGACTACCCCTAGGCTAATATGCAAAAAATGTGGAAAGTGGACTGGGTTCAGTATTATACTGTATTTTCGACCCAAATACTGCATACTGCATTTTGTCCAAAAATACTGTATTTGTACACACAGTATGTAGAGTTACATTTTAAATTGCATCTGGTGGAAAGGCGGAAATCGTGCGTCATGTCAAAGCAATAAAACATAAAAATGCTCTAAGTGCTGCATCTGTCAGCACTTCAATAAAATCACATTTTGTATCGGATTTAGATTTACATTGAGCGGCAATGGAAGGAATCTGGAACTTTCATGTGATAAATGTCAATCATAGTTTCCAGTCGTCGAAATGTACCACGAAAATATTTAAATCGTGTTTTCAAATGAAGTAGTTTTCGTGTTCTCCTAAGAAATGGCAGGTAATAGTCATTAATGTTTTCTCACCGCATGCCCAAAAATTGCTCGAAAAAAATTTAAAAGGATGCCATTTTGTATCAATCTACACTGATGCATCGAATTATGGCAATATTCCACTTTTTTTTTTGGTAGTTCGATACTTTATTCCCACTGCTGGTGTACGTGTTAGCGCAAATAGCTGGTGAAACTTCTGCAATAGAATCCGAGCTCATAGAATCTGCCGCCAATAAATACGGTCTGAAGTTGAAAATCGTTTGCTTCTGTGTCGCTCACACTATACTCAACGCATTAAAATTAGCATGTGACGCGATAGCGTTTGACGTTGAGTTATACTGTACGCGTGACGGCACTGAAGGAATTTTGTCAAGATACCGAAGTGGAATATAATAAACAAAGACCAGATTCTTGGCTCTCGCACACGAAAAAGGAGAGCAACAGCTAAAGAAATTTTTCAGAGTTGTATTATCGTAATTGCGGATGATGATTTTTTTTATCATCAGCAACAGTAGCAGAGAAGCAAAGACTTGTTGATGATAGATACAAATCCGATGAGATGGATGCTATTCGTAAGGAATTTTACGGTAATTTTTTCCTTGCCATTGAACAGCTCTTCAATTATTTGATACTAATTTTGTCTTACTAATTTTCAGAGTGATGTCCAAGATGTTATGAACAACTTGAGCAAAAACATTCTGTACGATGTCAATGAAAATGCCGTTGCCAGTAAAATCGCATACAGGAAACCGTTGGAGCAAATACAGCGGCTCGCATAACGGGAGCACTAAGAACCACTCCAACGGCTGCACTTGAAAGGTTACTCAACCTGCCACCAATTGACATTGCAGTCGAAGCTCGGCAATGAAATCAGCTACAAGATTGGCGGCGTTAGGTGAATTTTCCACTAGAACCTTCGGACATAGCTCGATAGGCCTGTGGATAAAATAGACCACATACCTTCACGATTTATCTGGGAGAGAAGTTTTCAAGCCACGTTCAAAGAGGGGTGGATGGAGCATGCGATCCGCCACCGGAACTTTTAACATCTAAACGGATGGATCGAAAATGGCTGATGGAGTGCGCGTCGGTCAGGCGACCCTTAGAGCTTCCGGAATACTGCAGTATAATTCAGGCAGAAGTCTTTGCGGTCCGGAAAGCTGCTGATATAGCTAACAATGCAGGAAATGACGTAAATAATATTAATATATGCGTAGATAGCAAAGTGTATATTAAAGCAATAATCTCACATCGCACTTCGACAGATGTCCTTAGAAGCAGAAAGGCAGTAGATATAGTGACTGCCTGAAAGCGGCTGCATATATACTGGGTTCCAGGCCACAAGGGAGTTTCGGGAAAGGAAATAGTTGATGAGATTGCCAAGAATGCCGTTCTCTTGACTATCGAACCAGTTTACCTATATATACGTTTTGTTCTTCCTCAGCATTATCAATGATAGTCATGTTAAAAGCTATTTGAACAGGGGGCGACAACTTACGCGGCTGTCTGTGGTGTAATGCCATATTTTAATGTGTTTTTATATTTCGTAATTAAGTGTGTTTTGATAACTGCTTGGATATAAAGCTACTTAAAAAGGGTTGACATTTTTTTGATGAAATCAATATGTATAAATTTCGTACATAAATAATCTGCACTAAATTAACTAATGGTGCACAAAATGCGCCTTTAGATGTAAAATTTGATTTTTTGGATCTATATTCACAACTCCGTCAAGTTAAAAGCCGCTAAAGCGTAATATGTTTGACTTTGGTAGTTCAAACGGAATCATGTAAAAAATTCTTATGGGCAGGCTAGTTCAAAAACTTGGAATTGGGTAAAAATAATCTTAAATTTTTTTCTTTAATTGTACAACATTCTTTGCACACATCGCTAGGTTTGTATGAGTGCTTTATGTGGCAGCATGTGTGAAAAATTTACTGACTTTAAAATTTCTTTCTCAGTAGTCCTGTCTGTTCTAAAATTATGAGTGCGTTAGTAAAAAATAATGTAAATGTATTAAGTTTTTCGAACTGTTACTGGCCCACTGACATAATGTTATAAGTCTTCTCTCCCTATAACGAACACTCTTTATAACGTAAAAAGTATCCGGTCCCTTGAATTTCGTTACATAGACTTTCCACTGTACATATTTTGAATAAGGAAATACTTATATCCTATGTATGGTATAATTCGATGTCATAATTCGAAATTGGGTAGAGCACCCGTATACTTAGTGAATTGTCAAATACCTATCTATAAGTTATATTATCGGTTACTATGGAACCCTCGATTCCACGACAGCCGGTTCTACGTTACCGGAATTGACCCGGATTTTATCCGGCCAAGGGATGTTATTTCGGCAATCTAACCCTGTTTGGATCGGTAAGTTTTAGTTTAGGTTGGTCGTCTTCAGAGCAATGGATGGAGCCATCTTAAGACCTGCTCAGGCCTTAAGACTCATAGGGAGTGGACCCCAAGTTACGTGGCCCCATGCTGCCAACACCTGCCTCAACGGCTGTGCAACCTGCACCATGTTCGCGCACTGCGCCGCCACTCCAGTCAAATGGCCAAGAAAGGACCTCCACGGCCCTTAGGAACTCACACAGGCAGCATGACTCCCAGTCTGTCAGTTAAGAAGAATTAAACTGGGTGGTTCCGCAGGGTGGTGTCCTCTCCCCGTTACTGTTGAACCTCCATATTTCGAAACTTCGTCAACCACCAGAGGGAATTTCCATCACTTCGTACGCAGATGATTGTAAGCTATTGACGTCAAGCATTGGAATCAATGGAATGTGTTCGAAAGTAAATGGCTATCTCTTCGACCTTTCTCGCTTCTTCTCTGCAAGGAGCTTGGTATTCTCTTCCAAATTCGCAGTGATCATATTCGCGAACTGGACGAAGAAATACAGGCTGGATCTTAATATCACAGCCGATTACGTTAAAATTCCGATTGTCAAAAACCGTAAGAATATAGATGTTACATTCGACAGCCTGTGCTCCTTCGCTCACAGAGCACAACAAAATCATCAAGTCGCTAGCCGGCAGTTCATGTGGAAAAGAAAAAAAACGTTGTGCACTATACAAGGTAATCGGCTGGCCGGTCATTGACTACGTCGCACCGATATGGTCGCCTGGATGTAGTGAAACGCAGACGAAGAAGCTGCAGACGTGACAAAATACTGTACTCCGGACTATAAGAGTACTCCTCTTGATGTCTTCAGTTGAACATTTGCACACTGAGGTCCGCATGCTTCAGGTCAAGGAACATAACAAACTCCTCTCCGATGTCATCGACATCGAACAGTACGCCTACCAGACATCGGACGCAACACGATTTGGCAGCCATTCACAGTGGGCTAACAACATCTTAACCGACCCCATCTTACTTAAATAACCGCTACAACAACAACAACGGATAACTAAATAACTGCTACAACAACAGTAACGGATAAAACAAAAAACAAGACATTCGATGATTTATATAACTTCCATTTCCACCACATTTTGTTTAAAATTAAAACAAATAGTAAAAAATATCAATTATTGAATTACATACCCGCCGTCATTGGTACCAAACTCTTCAAGTAAATCTGTGAGCGCATCGCGAAACTCGATCATTCCTTGAGCTGGTATAGCTATTTGTGACCTCGGACCACCTCTTGTTATAGTTTGCGATACCTGAAATACAAATAATGACTATGAAAACATACACTGCTATCGCGTCAACGCACAAATTTCGAGTTTAAATGAATTAGTGATGGTCACTTCAAAGAACTTTGGTTGGAACTGGATCAACACAAACAGCCATTACTTTTAAAATTATTAATTTAACTTGGTAAAAGAATATTTTTTAAAGCGTAATTTTTTTAGGTTTCTAACTACTTCTAACCGCATAATTAAATAATGCGCATTTCTCCGTTTCCGTGCTGACGGTAGTTTTTATTACACAAAACGCTTGAAAATCTTAATTTTATTGAAAAAGAGCATTCAGGGAAAGTAGATTGTTTCGACTCCTTATCTTTTCCACGTTTCCAACAATCTCTGAATTTTACTTTCACTGCTTCCAAATTTTTGCTTTCTTCTTCCGGGATTTTTCGCTACTCGTTCAACTAGTTTTTCAATTTGTTGTTTTGTTTTAACATTGTTTAATGATCAGCGCGGCTAGCTGAGTCAATTTCGCCGTTCCGTCTATTTTCCTGCATATACGGGACTAGCCCTCAGTTTTCGAGATACCGAACTCAAATTTTGCACACGTCCTTTTCTCTCTCAAAAAATTCTTCTTATTCTAGTATTGTAGCTTCGGTGCAACCGAAGTTAACGTTTTTTTTGTATTAGCATTTCCTACTTGTTTATTGCTATTACTACTTTTAAATTGCGTGATGTTTTTTCTTTAGCGTCTAAGAAATACCTCGAGCTGGCCGTTAAATCGCTTGTGTTGCCATGTTAATGGTATCGGAGGGAATTACATAATATTCAACTAGTAAAACTAAATTGAACTAAAACCAATTATACAATACAACTTATCAACAAGTTATATTCCAAATTATCTAATGTATAAAATTATCGTGTCACGGTGTGCTTATCGAGTAAGTCTAAGAATCGCCAAGCATCTATTTTTTATAGCCCTAAATGTTAAGGGTGGTCCAACCCAAATATTATTATTTTCTTCTTTTTTGGACAAATTTTTTTTGTTTTTATTCTTAAAATTTTTATATTATTCTGTTCCATCCACAGATTCGCAGGGTGGCAATCGAATATTATAATTGTTATATACTATTATTTTCTTGTATAGTTCTATCAATCAATCAGTTATCCCCGCCAGGTGTCTCCCGTTGTCACTTCTGAATCAGCAAACATTACAGGACGATCCCAGAAAAAAGGGAATGAGCGGTGCCAGCCTGATGTGGTACCTGAGGCACCTCCAGGAGGGAAGAACTCCGGAGGAAGCCGAAGAACTAGCGCGAAACAGGGTGAGCTCCCAAGCTGGCAGGGTGGAATGGCCCCATCCTCTGCGCAAAAAAGGGGGACGAAATTCCGCCCATGCATAGCATGACGTTATTCCTCCCTAGGTGCGCAGGAAAGTCGTACGAGTTTGCTCTCGGGCTCATCCGATACCAAAACGATGGCCTCAGCACATCGGCCTGGCGGGTGATCAGCAGCAAGGCTGAGGATTCAGGGTGGAGGCTCAACCTCTGCATAGATGACGAATCGTACAAATTCGTCAGGAGGGTGAGCTTCCGTCTGAACTATAAGTTCAGCTCGGTGGTCCTGAGGCCATTCAAGCCGAAAACGATCACCGAGGGTGATGCAAAAGAAACAATGCAGGTGGATGAGGTTGCGACTCAACCTTGCGCAAGTACGTCGAAGCAGGCGGCAACTGCTGAGACAACGGTGAAGGTCCCTACCGAGAAAACGGGCGAGCAAGGGGGGGAGCTACCCTCCACTCAGGAGCTTCTGGAGAGGCTCACGAACCTAGCGGGGGTCATCGCGGAGGACGGTGAGAATGAGGACCAGTTCTTCATGGACCCGATCTTGTAGTGGGGCCGCGCATAGAAGTTGCCCAGGTGAACCTGCTCCACGCGGCGTCGGCCTCGGCGGTTATCTCAAGCAGGTTCACAATGGATGGACTGGGCATACTACTGATCCAGGAGCCATGGGTCAATAAAGGAGAGGTTAGGGGCCTCAAAAAGGAGTCAAATAAGGTAATCTGGGATCTCTCTAGTGAGAGACCTAGAACCTGCATAGTACTTAGGAACGGTATTGATTTCTTTTGTATTTCAGAGTTCCTAACACAGGACCTGGTCGCTGTGCAAGCAAGGAACGACGAAGGGGTAGACTTCGTCTTGGCAGCGGCCTATTTTTCGGTTGAGACTCCGACAGCACCCCCAGAGGCAGTCGGCAACCTGGTAGAGTAATGCAGGAGGAACAAGCTGCCCCTCATCATGGGATGTGACGCTAATGCCCACCACATCGAATGGGGCAGCACGGACTGCAACACACGGGGTGAGTATCTTATTGAGTTTATAGCTAGTAAGAATTTAAGTATTGCAAACGTGTGGTGCGAACCCACCTTTCTAACTAGTGTTAGAAGGGAGGTGCTTGACATCACTCTCAGTAACGAGTCTGAGACAGGGCTGATCTCACAATGGAGGGTGTCATCAGAACCCTCCATGTCGGATCACTGTATTATAAGATTCGCACTGGGGATGGAGGTCAAACAACTCCCTCCCAAGCGTATCCCTAGGAACACGGACTGGGCCGATTTTAGGGACTCACTTGTAGCAAATGTCAGTAGTAGGGAGCAGCTGGATAGGAGTGCAACGGCTTCTGGGTTTGAAAGCAGACTGTCTGCCCTAAACCAATCCATTATAGAGGCATATCACAGCAGCTGTCCCCTAAAGACAACCACCAAGATCCGTAACTGCTCCTGGTGGTCTAGTAAGCTCTCAGTACTAAGAAAAACGGTACGCAAGCTATTCAATAAGGCTAAGCGCACCGGAAACTGGGAGGATTACAGATGCAGCCTAACTGCTTATAATAAGGAGATTAGGACCGCAAAGCAGAAGAGCTTCAGGAAGGTCGGTGAAAGCGTCTCCTCAACCCCAGAGGCAGCAAAGCTGCATAAGGCTCTGGCTAGAGGTAAGACGGACACAGCACTAGCGATTAAAAGATCTGATGGGACTCTTCTACTTGCGCATTTCCTGGAGATGATTCAAGAAGACCTGATCCGACCTATGGTCGAACGAAGGCCATCACGCTTGGACTAGATAGTCGCAAAACAGCTCTTCGCTGCAGACTCCATCAAGTCGGCTTTGGCCTCCTTTGAAAAATATAAGTCCCCGCGTGCGGATGGTATCCTTCCAGCTTTTCTGCAACAGGGGGAGCAGGTGCTACTGCCCCACCTTGTTCGGCTGATGAGGGATAGCCTAGCGCAGGCATATATCCCAGAACCATGGCGCACTGCAAAGGTGATCTTCATACCCAAAGTAGGAAGGGAGGACTACTCATTGGCGAAATCATTTAGGCCAATCAGTCTTACTTCCTTCTTATTAAAAGTATGGAAAAGATCATAGTCCACGAAATTTGATCGAAGGTGCTGAAGGCTTCACCGCTTCATGCGAAGCAACATGCTTACAGAGCAGGCAGATCAACAAACACTGCTCTGTACCAGCTAACCTCAGAGATCCAGAATTCGTTAGATGGGGGCGAGGTGATGTTCTGCGCCTTCCTTGACATCGAAGGTGCCTTTGACAATACGTCTCATGAAAGCGTGTCAAGAGCACTGGAGAAAAGGAGTGTGGCAGAACCAGTGCGCAGATGGATTGCAGCCGTACTGCGCACTAGGGTAGCGGAAACCGCAGTAGGAGACAGCAAAATTCGTCTGGGCACAACAAGAGGTTGCCCACAGGGTGGAGTGCTATCCCCCCTACTTTGGAGCCTAGTTGTGGACCATCTCCTTGAGCGGCTAACTAGCAATGGAATCCGCTGTCAGGGATATGCGGATGACATTTTTATCTTAGCTAGGGGAAAATTCGAAGACACACTCTGCGATATCGACAGAAGGGACTGGGACTGGCAAAGGATGGTGTAGTGGAGTTGCTTAACATCAATCCCTCTAAAACTACAATCTTCCCTTCACCAGACGGAGGTCACTGCCCGGCCTCAGAAATATATCCCTTGACGGCAGAGTGGTGGGAATGGCCAGCACGTCAAGTATCTGCGCCTCACGCTGGATTCCACTCTACGATGGAAGCAGCATGCGGACCAGACCCTAACCAAAGCTACAAAAGCACTCATGGTGTGCAACCGACTTGCTGGAAAATCTTGGGGTGCTCCCCAGGACTATCAGGTGGATGTACACCATGATCCCGAGACCGATTATCACGTATGGAGCGGTATCGTGGGTTTGTAAAGCATCGCAGACTTCGGTAGGACTCAAACTGTCGAAGCTGCAAAGACTTGCCTGCATCTGCGCTCGGAAAAGCGAACGTGTCCGACCGCAGCACTAGAAGTCATGCTAGAACTTTCACCGCTACACCTGGTAATCAAACAGACAGCCAAACGGACTCTACTCCAAATGACATCAGAGGGGTTGGCAAAGGAAGGTAATCTCCTCCCAGCAGATGAAGGCGCTAAGTGAGGAAATACCACTAGCCCTTCTCCAAGGACAGCATTACCAAAGTAGTAAACTTCACAAGAAGTTCAAAGTTACCCTTGGCAGCAAGTCTGAATGGAATGATTCATCACTGGACCTGCTGCTAAGGGAAAGCACTATCAAGTGGTACACCGACGGGTCGAAAACGGAGGAGGGGATTGGTGCAGGTGTCGCTGGGCCAAGCACAAAATTCCCATGGGAAGTTTCCCGAGCATTTTCCAAGCCGAGGTCTATGCTATAAGTCGGTGTGTAGAGATAAACCTCCAACGCAACTATCGCAATAAAAGTATTGCTATACTCAGCGATAGTCAGGCGACACTAAGAGCGATCTCTGCCTATGAGGTCAGATCACTTCTAGTGCTGGAGTGTATAGAACGGCTGAACAGCTTATCAGAGCACAACCGAGTGCACCTTATTTGGGTGCCTGACCATAGGGGTATAGCCGGGAACGAACTGGCTGACGAGTTGGCCCGCTCTGCAGCCTCTACAAAAATGGTAGGACCGGAACCATTCATAGCGGTTGGTCCACATACCATTAAAGAGCTCCTCCGTAGGGAGGAAAGAGCAGGCAGGGAGACACATTGGCAACAACTTCAGGGCATGCACTATGCCAGACTGCTAATGGGGGGTTACGACCTCAAACGGTTTAAAGCCACAAGTAATCTCCCGAGGAACAAATTCCGGCTACTTGTCTTCTACACCGGCCACTGCAGGCTCAAGAAGCACCTCTTCAACATAGGTATAGCCACTCCTGCAAACTGCCGGTTCTGCGACATAGAGCCGGAAACCCCTGAACATTTGCTGATGAGCTGCACAGCAGTCTGCAGACGCAGAATCAAGGCCCTGGGATCCATGTTTCCACACAGGGATTGTATCGCCTCACTAGCACCCAGCAGAATTTTGGAATTTATCAACATACTGAACTAGATGATACGATACGATGACTTAGGGGAGGGCACAATAGACCATAGGTCGCGGTGCATACCTCTAAATTAATCTATCTATCTAGATTTGGGTACACCATCATTTTCCACCGGACAACTTTATGTGTCTCGCGTGGGCAAAACATCTAGTTTGATTGTATTGACTAAAGACGTACTGATAAAAAATATTGCGTTGAGAAAATAATCTTTGCTTATTTTAAATTGCCATAATTAGTAATAAAAATTTGAAATATGAATTTTTTTTGATGTTAAGACAGCTAACAATAATCGTAATTTAACATATATTTGTTACTTTATTAAAGAACAATTTATGAGCTTATATAAAGTATAATTAACAACTCTTCATACCTCTTTCAATTATAATTACATCCCCCACTCACTTATAGAGTCAGTGTTATTAAAAATATTTCCTAACAAGTAAGGAAGGGCTAAGTTCGGATGTAACCGAACATTTTATACTCTCGCAAAGTCAAATAGTATACTCGTTTGAGATTTCTTTGTGGATTGGCTGATATTTTCGGTAGAAGGTCAACTATAGGCACTGGGTCCACATATTAGTACTTAGGGCTTAAACAGTTTTGGTTCGATTTAGACAATTTTTGGCCACAAGGTGGCATACTTTGATCGCATTATTCACGCAAAGTTTTATCCCGATACAGTCATTGTTGCCTGATTTGCATAGTGGAAAGTGAAATAATCAGATGGAATTTAAAATGGTATATGGAAAGTAGCGTGGTTGTAGTCCGATTTCGCCCATTTTTGCACTGTGACATAGAAACATTAAAGAACGTTATGCACCGAATTTGGTTGAAATCGGTTAAGCAGATCTCAAAATATGGTTTTCACCTAAAAGTGGGCTGTGCCACGCCCACTGTCTAATTTTGAACGCGGTTCCTATAAAGTCATCTCATACCATCCCAGAGATAAAATTTAATGACTCTGGCGTGTTTAGTGCTTGATTTATCGCGCTTTTAGTAGTTTTTAACAGTACCGTTATATGGGGAGTGGGCGGAGTTGCCACCCGATTTCAACTATTTTCACACCGTCAATAGAAGTGCTAAAAATATTTGCTTCCAGTGAATTTTGTTATTATAGCATTAGCGGTTTAGGAGATATGCACATTAAACCTATTAGAGGCGGACCACGCCCACTTTTTTAGAAAAATTTAACTGCAGATGCCCTCCCTAATGTGATCCTGTGACCAAATAACAGTCTTGTATCTTATTGCGGAGCTTAGTTATGGCAAGTTATTTGTTTTGATTAATGGCGTTTTGTGGGCGTGGCAGTGGTCCGATTACGCCCATCTGCAATACCAACCGTCTCACGGTACCATGAAACATGTCTACCAAGTTTCATAAAGATATCTCAATTTTTACTCAAGTTAGAGCTTGCACGGACGGACAGACGGACGGACGGACAGACAGTCACCCGGATTTCAACTCGTCTCTTCATCCTGATCATTTATATATATATAACCCTATATCTAACTCGATTAGTTTTAGGTGATACAAACAACCGTTAGGTGAACAAAACTATTATACTCTGTAGCAACAGGTTGCGAGAGTATAAAAATAACGTGTATAGCAATACAACGTTTGCAGGGTCAGCTAGTTATACCTATAATTTTTTGTCCTCAAAAAGTGATTAAGACAACAATATATTTCTAGACCAAAACATATTTCTGTGGTATGTTGAAGTTTTCGAAATTTATAAAAGATCTTCCAATTTTGTTGTAAACAACGTTGCCTAACTGCATTTTATTATTCTGTCTGATTGCACCTAATACAAAGCCTTAGTAAAAAAAAAGCAAAACTCCTTTTGAAAAGCCCGTATATACCGGTAGATTCCATCCATCATGCCCATAAGAGACGTGAGTGCTAATTGGGCTCGATTCAAAGAGGAAAAGGAAATTTGCTTTGCGAACCACATAGAAAAGGCATTTCAGCCTAATTACCCAATAAACGATATTAGGTACCAACTTTGCCCGCACCGCTAATGAGTTGCCTTTGCCTATCAATACTTCAACTTTTGAAGTTTTTGTCTATAATAGCGTCTCTTTTCCTTTCTGTAATGAATTTAGAAGAGCTCTAATGAATTTTTAATTCGCCATGTGCAGAACTTATCACCTAATTTGTTTTTTCATTAACTCACAAAACGATATGACATTTCCAGCCTGTCTGGTATTTATATACGAGGGTGGTCCGATGGCGAATCTATCGTAGGAGAATATGACTCGTAGTTTGGTTTTGACCACTTGAGAAAGCGCGCATGCCAGCGGAACTTGAAAAAATTCATATCGGTCGGCAATTCCGTTGTAGGTGAAGACCTCTCTCAGACGGGAAGGTGTTGGGCAAAGCTGCCTTTATTATGCTGAATTATTGAGCCAATTTGACTTCAAATTGCAGAAAAAACATAAAAAAAGTTCCTCGTCGGGCAGAAATTTGGGTTGAAAAACGAGGTTATAGCCGGAGACCTACTTTAGAAACCTCTAATAAACGTATCTCTTGAATGGATCAAAGTACGGATGTTTTTTTTAGACGTGTGGTTTTCAATGAGGAAATACCTTTTTAGGAGTTGCACTGCGTCTAATATGCAGGCGATTATTTTTTGTGGAGTTATGTGATATCACTTATCTACACAGATAAGCCCGATACGATTTACGCCTTGGAAGAGAATTTCCAGCGCGTTATTGCTGTCATACGGCCCCTATTTCTGCGAGCCAGCCAACACTTGCCTAAAACATTCTTAGTACATATATGCAAACCCTTACCTAATAAATCTAATCCAGAATTCTTATTAGAATTTAGAACTTAGAATTAAATGGTGAAATACATAATACGATATAGAAATTTTAGTTTGATAATAAATGTCGATCATATATACTTACTCGTAAAAATCGGCCGCGCGCATTTTCTTTTAAATCCAAATAATATCGTCTATTATCTTTGATCATCATCTCCGATTTCAATTTTCCATCCTCAGGGAGATTATCTGGATTTGGTGGCCCTGCGAATTTGACTGCTATGGTTTAAAATGTATGTTTTATTATGTTAGTATACATTAAAGGTAATGGGCCAATGTAGTATTGGTTCGTTCACTTAGCTTCTAGAACTGTCAAAAATCAATGAAAATGTAACAAAAAGCATGAAATTGGTTTAATGGCGTCTTTACTTCACTTATAGCACCTTCATAAGCTTAAATCTCAATTAGACAGACATCTATACTCATTTGACTTTACTTTATAATTTGGTCAGATTTTAAAAGATTTCAAAGTAGACAAAAATAAGCCACGTAAAGACAAATATTATTTGGTCCGTACCTCAAAACAAACCGAATTTTTATATATTTATGTGCATGCTCCGTTAAAAAAAAAAGGTATAAAATAAAATGATTTGTCTCAACTCCGAGTATATTTCCGACATGGAAAACTTTCCCTTAGCAAACAACTATTTAGACGGACTTAATTCTCGATGTGAACGGATTTTCTCTTAAGAATTGCAGAGAGGTAAGTGACAATAATACATCAAATAACTTTCAGAATAATTGAGAAATACGGTGGACATAGACCGTTGGTTACAAAATGAGGAGAATGGAAATGAATTTTAATTTTCAGTCCGGTATTTCGAAAAAAATTTAATTTAAATGATTATTCATTTATTTTTTTAATTAATTTTTTGCAACCTTGCTCACAGTTATGTTAAAAATCTTCCTTGCCATTGTAATATTAATTCGCCATTATTAAAAGATCTAACGTTGTCCTGTGTTATTTGCAAAAAATTGCTAATAAAGCCATTAGTGGCATAAGACCCTAAATTGCAACCTTTGTATATTCGATTCCAAAAAAATAGGTCAACTTATATTATAAATATACTTGGGGCCGTTTTCTTAACACCCGGTTAATATAATATTATCCTTAACCGCTGGTAGCTTAACTCGATGGTAGCTTTAACTGACAGAACCGTTCTCAGCAAGGTTAGCTTACCTACACTTTTAGGTGGGTCAAAACATCAAACTTTTTTTTCGCTTGATTCTTTGAAATATAGGTTGAATAGTGGTAAAATGGTATTTTTTATTTTTCGTTTAAATTAAGCGTTTATGAGATATCCATCGTCAAAAATCAACGAAAAAATTTTAAAATATAATTTTTTTTAAATAAAAATAAATGACAGCCAATTTTTGTAGATTAGTAAAATGCCTAGGAAACTGTGAGTTTTGCAACTTAACGTTATTTGTTTTAACTAAGTTATAAAATTCATAAGAAATCAAAACTTTGCCTTAAAATAATCAAACTTCAACCGTTAATAAAATTTAAGCGGTTAGGTTTACAAAAAATCGTAAGAGACCATTTTGTAGAATTTCCCACAAAATCTGCGAAGGAGATATGTTTCATCCCATAATATGTTCTATGTAGTAACGGTACTGAAAATATAAGTAGCGAATTTATATTTAAAAAAATTACGATAGATGAGCTGAATAATGTATGTATGAATGTTAAAAAAAAAAAACATTGATAAAATTCATAAGGGGATGCTGATAGATCATTGGGAAAAATTAGTATAGTCTATTACATTGGATTATTAATTCGCTTACGAGAGAAGTTTTTCCTCAATTACTGAAAAAATCAATGATAACGCCAATAAAGAAATTAAATAAAACAGGGAAGGCTGAAGACTTCCGACCCATCAATACGTTAAAAAACATAGAAAATATTTTAGAAAGTGTTGTTAAAAAACAACTGATGAAATGTTTGGAGAGTAATGAACTTCTTTCGAAATTCCAATTGGGCTTTCGCAAGCATCACTCGTGTGAAGCAACAATAAATTAAACCATATTATTAATGAATGGAAGAGTGAGAGAAAGTAAAAAAAAGGAGAGAGAGAGTATTATATTGGATTCTTAATAGTGTAGATTTCTGGAGGATAGAGCATTAATCGTTGTTCCTGAGAGCATTAGTGTATATAACTCTGTATGAAATACATGATATCCTCAAGTTTTTGTGGTTAGGAAATAATAAAGAGGGTATGTAGATGGCTGTGATGACAAATTCTTTTCCGTTTGATATATTACATGCGCCCAAGCTGTTATCAAACTCATTGTATGTGTAGTAGAATTTATTACACTGATATGAAAATGTGGAATGTCAATGTTTAATGCATAAAATTATTAAAATAGATCGCAACACCTCCTGCTCGAATGTTCGGTCGTTTATATTTGACGACACAAGTGAAGTTTGATATGCTGACGTTCTCATCATTGTCTAACCAAGTATCGGTTAACAACACAATGTTTGTTTTCGTATCACTGCATCTGTGAGATTCTGAGAATGACTTCGAAAACTTTGGCATTTACGGGTGTATATTGATAATCCTTTACTATGGCGAATAAAGTCTAGCATTTGTTTATTAACAGTTTCCAATAAATTCGGAGTTCATCAGCTCTCCGACCATGATTAAAACCTAAATCGTCATTTGTTGTAGTTATCCATAATTCCTTGATACTAGTTTTAATCCCTTTTAATCATTCACCTACTTGGCAATTATGTTGCCAATAGATAAAAGTATTTATTAAAAACAGACCAAACTATTTTTTCGCAACATTATTCTATTCATTTCACTAAAACGTTTTCACTATAAACTAATAAATTAGGTATAATTCACGAATTAACAAAAGTGTTTACATTTGTTTCGATCACGTATGCTGTTGTCGTAATCTTCTGTACACTAGTGATTCAGTTAGCGACCGACGCAAGACCGTCGTAGACCTATCTTATGAGAGCGCAATGTAAATGAACCACCGCTTCTACCGTACGTAACGTAGGGTATCCGCGAAAATTGGTTTTTCCCGTAAAAACGAGTCAGCTGATTGTTCTGTGCCCATAAGAACGTGTGGATATTAATATTTGACAGATGCTGCCTGTCGCTTGTCATCGGTGCTGTATGTAAGTGTCAATTTGCAGCTTATCTCTGGTGCAGCTAGAAGCCTGCGAAGTGAACCGACCAAGCATGTTTATTAAAATGTATGCACATATGTCGAAGAGTGAGCGCAAAACAACAGCACATGCATTGCTACAATGTGTTTATGGCTACACACACGTAGCTGCTCCCGGAAAACAAAGGCGAGAGGAAATTTGAAAAAGTGTTGTGACGCGACCTTGAAAAATCACTCTAATGCGGCGAAAAAAGTATTCACTTCAAAAATGAGTAAATATGGGATTTATAGAGTGGAACTTGACTAGTTCAGGTCATATCTTCGATAGAAATAGATACGAAAGTCAACGGAAAGATATCAGACTCGGGAAGGGTGGAAAAAGGAGTACGCCAGTTTCTTGGACCAATATTATTTATATTGTTTATAAATGATAATAAAACAAGTAAGGATGTTCTAAGTTCGGATGTAACCGAACACTTTATACTCTCGCAACATGCAAGGATCAAAGCCCGGGAAATTACTTCAGGTGTTGGCAAAATTTTATATTAAAGGAAATATTGATCCGATTCAACCCGTTTTTGACACAAAAACATACTCGATAATAGTAGTTTCACTAATTTATTTCATTATATGAATTTGAATTATATATTTTACACATTGGTCAATATTTTCGGTAAAAAGTCAACTATAGGCACTGGAGTGCACATATTCAATACCTAAGGGTTAAACAGTTTTAGTTCGACTTTTTTGATCACAAACTGGCATACTTTAAATGCATTATTCTCGCAAAGTTTTACCCCAATACAATCATTGTTGCTTGATTTGCATAGTAGAAAGTGAAAGAAACAGATGGATTCTAAATGGTGTTATATGGGAAATAGGCTTGGTTGTAATCCGGTTTCGCTGATTTTCGCACTATAACGTAGAAATATGAGAATAATGTAATGCACCTAATTTGTTTGAAATCGGTTAAGCAGATTCCAAAAAATGGCTTTTCCCCTAAAAGTGGGCGGTGCCACGCCCACTGTATAATTTTGATCGCGGTTCCTATAAAGTCATCTGATACCATTCCAGAGATAAACTTTAATGTCTCTGGCGTGTTTAGCGCTTGATTTATCGCGCTTTTAGTAGTTTTAACAGTACCGTTATATGGGGTTATCCCCCGATTTCACTCATTTTCACACTGGCGATAGAAGTGCTAAAAAGATTTGTTTACAGTGAATTTTGTTTAGGAGGTATGCTTATTAAAACTATTAGGGGGCCAGACCACACCCACTTTTTAAAAAAAATAACAACACATAAAATTAACAAACTTAAATTAAATGAAGAAAAATTAAAATGATTTATGAAATTTAATGGCGCTTTTGCATTTAAAATAAACAAAACCATAGAAAAAACTTATAATATTAAATATCTTGAAGTAATTATTGATAGCGAATTAAACGATAACTTTGAATATATGTGTAGAAAGATAGTATATTTTGAAAGAAATTGCAGAAAAGTTTGTATAATGACAGCAATAAATATATTTAATGATATTATTAAGCCCCATTTTTAGTATTGCTCTGCTATTACATATACATACATGCTGCAACCAAACTCAGATGGAAAGGCCCCAAAAATTGCAAAATAAGGGAATGACACTTATATTACAATTTACTACATTATTAATGTAATGCTTGAAACTTTAAAACGGCTTAATATCAGAGAGCGATTTGAACTACATAAGCACTCTTACGACAGTCCTCAAAGCTTAATATCAAAATGTACCAAAACATTTCACTGATAACATTGAGTATGTAGAATAATCACAAAAATATGAATTAAAAAACAACTGTGTTAATTTTAGAGTAAATTTTAAACAGTCACTGTTTTATATAGGTTTAGGATTGTATAATACATTGTCAATGCAATTAAAATAAGAAACCAAGAATATAGCAATTAAGCAAAAATGTATTGAACTTATTAGAAGTAAGAGGAGTAATATAACGTAATGTAAAGTATAATTTTATACCAATAAATATATTAATAATGATAATAATAAGAAAAAATAGATAACTGTAAAGCGGAAGACCTTCCCGTTTCAACAAAGA